CTCACAGATAAATGAGGTTGAAAGAAAAGTGATGATGGCAGAGAGAAAGAAACAAATCACTAAAAGATATGAGTAAAATAAAAAAAAATAAATATGAAGAAGAATGGCGAATCATATTGTACCCTATGAGCAAGGATTAGAGAATCATATTGTACCCTATGAGCAAGGATTAGAGAATCATATTGTACCCTATGAGCAAGGATTAGAGAATCATATTGTTCATCGCTTTTATACCTGTATGGAATAGCGAAGCAGATTCACCTCCCCTCAAATTTGATTATATCACACGAGAAAGGATTAGCAAATCAGATTGTATTAAAAAAATTGGAGATTCGAATTACAAACAGACTAGAATCTACACAACTTTCTGGGGGTTAGCGAAGCAAGATGTGGCTTAATATATGCTAAAAAAAAGACGAGCGAATTATGTCACAAGTTAATACGAAACTCACAACCTTCTGAGGAATAGCGAATCACGATGTAGCTCTCACATTTTACTTATTTTCAAGGGGATAGGGTGACCTGGCGGACGACTGAGGCTGTTTATAATTCAGGTGGACAGGTTGTTACCACATACCACTGAAGGGAGGAAGAGGTGGAGAGAGGAAGGGAGGGAAGAGGAGGGAGGGAGGAAGAGGTGGAGGAAGAGAGGGAGGGAAGAGGTGGTGCAGGGAGAGAGGGAGAAAGAGGAAGGAGGAAGAGGTGGTGGGGAGGAAGAAGGGAATGGGTGGGAGGGAGGGAGGAGATGGAGGACAGTTGGCCTCACCCACCACTATCCCGTGTTTACTGTGTTGTGTGTCTGTCTGTCACTGTCTGTCTTGTTGTGTGTGTGTGTGTGTGTGTGTGTGTGTGTGTGTGTCCATTACAGTACAGTACACAAAACAGCTGGCCGAGTAAGTGAAATGTGGAGTGTGGCTACCGTAGAGTTATTCCCGTTTTTTCTCCCCCTCCCTGCCTACCTGCCTGCCTGCTAGCTTGTCTTCTTCTTATTATTATTTTTCTTCTTCTTCTTTTTGTCGTTATACTTCTTCTCTTCCTCTTCCTCCTCCTCCTTCTCCTCCTCTCTTCTATCTTCTTTTTGTCGTTATTGTTGTTGTTCTTCTTACTTCTTTTAAATCTCTCTCTCTCTCTCTCTCTCTCTCTCTCTCTCTCTCTCTCTCTCTTCTCTCTCTCTCTCTCTCTCTCTCTCTCTCTCTCTCTCTATAAGACCCTCTTAGACCTTACAGCACCGTGTCCCCCCCCCCACACACACCTCTCCCCCTGACTATTAACTCGACCTGGGTTCGTCACACAGCTTGTCAAGAGAACAATCACGGACCTTCATGCCAGACGCACACTCTTTCACCTCCACCTCCCATTCACTGCCTGGCACGCCCTGATAAGCACGCCAGTCACATGTGAGAGAGGTGGCTGGTGAAGAGAGAGTGAAGAGAGAGAGAGAAAAGAGGTTGAGGAGAAAGTGGGGTAAGGTAAGTGGAAGAAGGAGGAATGGGTGGTGGCTTTGATGGAAGAGAGGAAGAAGGGGTGGTAAAGCATGGTTGAGAGCTTTAGGGGAGGGAGATGAAATGGTAGGTGGGAAAGGAAGGGGTGAGAACTTTAAAGGAGAGAGTGGGAGGGGATGGGAGAGGTGAAGGTTTTTTATTCATATTTTTATTCAATTATTCACATGACATACCAACACAAAATAAGAAGTAAGTTATTATTATTTTTTGGAGTCGAGTTAAAATTTTTGGAGTGTATGTTTTTCCTCTAATGGATGGTGAGGAGAGGGGTGAGGGTGAGGGTGAGGTGAGGGTGAGGGGTGAGGGAGGGGGGGTCCTTCATCCTCTCTCTCTCTCTTATGTTGTTTTACGGTTGTTATGTTACAGTGATGAACAAAAATTGCCTCGTCGTAACCTATAAAACTTTACTGTTCGTTATCAGAGTCAACATCAGGGAGGTGTGTGTGTGTGTGTTGTGTGTGTGTGTGTGTGTGTGTGTGTGTGTGTGTGTGTGTGTGTGTGTGTGTGTGTGTGTGTGTGTGTGTGTGTGTCTGTGTTACGAACAAAAGAAGTGATTTCTTTACAACATCAAACAAAATTATCACTATATTATCATCACTATGATACTCTTGGTTCTCGCTTAATGGGGAGATTGGGACAGGTACGAGACAGGTGGGAGACAGGTGGGTCGACAGGTGGGAGACAGGTGGGTCGACAGGTGGGAACAGGTGGGTCGACAGGTGGGAGACAGGTGGGTCGACAGGTGGGGAACAGGTGGGTCGATGGGTGAGGAGACGGTGGGTCGACAGGTGGGAGACAGGTGGGTGTCGAGTGGGGAGACAGGTGGGTCGACAGGTGGGAGACAGGTGGGTCGACAGGTGGGAGACAGGTGGGTCGACAGGTGGGAGACAGGTGGGTCGACAGGTGGGGGACAGGTGGGTCGACAGGTGGGGAACAGGTGGGTCGACAGGTGGGAGACAGGTGGGTCGACAGGTGGAGACAGGTGGGTCGACACTCACACTTGGGAATCGATGCAGCAAGGACAGTTCTGAGGATTCCAAAGGCGTAAGGGTAAGTGTATCTTGTGTCTGAGTGTATCTTGAGTCTGAGTGTATCTTGTGTCTGAGTGTGTCTTGAGTCTGAGGTGTCTTGTGTCTGAGTGTGTCTTGTGTCTGAGTGTGTCTTGTGTCTGGGTGCGTGGTGATCTTGTCTGAGTTGTGTCTGGGTGTGTCTTGAGTCTGGTGTGTCTTGTGTCTGAGTGTATCTTGTGTCTGAGTGTATCTTGTGTCTGAGTGTATCTTGTGTCTGGTGTATCTTGGTCTGTGTATCTTGTGTCTGAGTGTATCTTGTGTCTGAGTGTGTCTTGAGTGTGAGGTATCTTGAGTCTGAGTGTGTCTTGTCTGAGTGTATCTTGTGTCTGAGTGTCTTGGTCTGTGTCTGTCTGGGATCTTTGCTGGGTTCTGTGGGTATCTTGGTCCTGTCTGAGATCTGGTCGTTTGTCAGTGTATCTTGTGTCTGAGTGTGTCTTGAGTGTGGAGTGTATCTTGAGTCTGAGTGTGTCTTGTGTCTGGGTGTATCTTGTGTCTGGTGTGTCTTGAGTCTGAGTGTGTCTTGTGTCTGAGTGTATCTTGTGTCTGAGTGTATCTTGTGTCTGGGTGTATCTTGGTCTGAGTGTATCTTGGTCGATTTCAGTGTATCTTGTGTCTGAGTGTATCTTGTGTCTGAGTGTGTCTTGAGTGTGAGTGTGTCTTGAGTGTGAGTGTGTCTTGAGTCTGAGTGTATCTTGAGTCTGAGTGTTTCTTGAGTGTGAGAGAACGACTATTATATGCGATGTTTTTCTTATGATGATGGTGGTTGTTAGTACTACTACTACTACTACTACTACTACTACTACTACTACTACTACTACTACTAGTATTAACCTTCCCCTTCCATCACCACCACCAGCACCGCTACAAACCTTCCCTTCCACCACCCTTCCCTGGACAGACGTGCCTGGCATGGCAAGCTGACATGGTCCACGGCTATTGGTAACTTCCCTCTTCCCTTCCTCCTCCTCCTCCTCCTCCTCCTCCTCCTCCTCCTCCTCCTCCTCCTCCTCCTCCTCTCTTCTTCTCCTCCTCTCCCTCATTTCTTACCTATTTGTCATCCTTACTCTCTTTTCTCTCCTGCTCTTCCTCTCTCGCCTCATATCTTCAGTCTCTCCCCACCCCTTCATTTCTTACTCTCCTCCCTCATATTCTCCCTAATCCCCCTTCATTCCTCATTATCCTCCTTCTTACCATTCTTTCCCATTCCACCTTCTTCTCTCGTCACCCTATCCTACCTCACCCCTTCTCTCATCCCATTATTCCCCACTCCCTGCCCTTACCCCATTCCTTCCCATTCTACCATCAGCCCTCCCCCCTCCTCCCTCCAGGTGTGACCCAGCGCTGGGGAGAGAGAGAGAGAGAGAGAGAGAGAGAGAGAGAGAGAGGGATCCTACAGCCAGCCAAATATTGACCTGGTCTTGGGTAAACTGTTGAAACTATTTTGTCAAGGTATTTTCAATTTCTTTTTGTCCCTAGTGTCGACTTTTTTCCCCAACATTTCCCCAATTTCCTTATTTTTCCCCGATTTTCCCGAGTTTCCTTATTTTTTTACATTTTTTCTGCATATTACATCATTATTTTTAATTTTACTGTGTTATTTATCTTTCTTTCTTTTCCCTTTCCAACGTTTTCCTCCTCATTTCTCTATTTCTGCATTTCCCATTAATCCCTCGTATCCTCATTCTCTTCCTCATTCTCCCTATTTTACCCCATTAACCTTATTTTCTTTTGTCTTATTTTCATGTTGTTTTCACCCGTCTGTGCTGTTGTGTCTAGACTCCACAATTCGGTAGAGGAATGTTAAGTCGTTAAGTTATACAAAGAACAACAAAGATTCTCCTTGAAGGTAGACAGGTAATTGCTAAGTCAACAATGAGGTGATTACAGCCTGCAGTAGTTGAAGGTGCAGTTAGAAGTACAGGTTATAAATATGAATATAGACTAGTATTCCTGTATCCGTACCTGTAACGCTGCTGATGAAATATTATTAAATTATCACCTGTTTACATTGTACAGGTATTCACTGTATCTGAGGTTACATGTAAACTTAGACGAAATGATACAAATATTTAACTTGTGTCTATATATTTCATGACTGACACGAAGGACCAGTTTGACATTTTCGTTAATTACATGTCGTATAATTACCTATTAAATTAATTATAGGTTATCATTTGTTTCTAAAATTGGCTAAATTATGATGAAACCTGTAAACATATTTTCTTTATTAGGTAAAAATAATTTAGTTCCAGTGACTGACGTACGAACAGCTACCTACCCTGGCTTGCGTCATACTTACATCCTCCATGTTCTCCTTTCCACCCCACCCCCTTCCCTCTCTCCCCAGCCACCTCCCCTCCTTCCTGGCCACTTCCTTCTTCCCGGCCACCTCTTTCCTCTCCCAGCCTCCTCTCCTGGCCACTCCCTCCCTCCCCGGCCACTTCCCTCCTCCCTGGCCACTTCCCTCCTTTGCTGGCCACCTTTTCCCCTCCCAGCCACCTCCTCTGGCCACCTCCCTCCTCCCCGACCACCTCCCTCCTCCCCGACCACCTCCCCCACCCCCGGCCACTCCCCCGACCACACCAGACCCAGCACCTCATTCAGGTGTCGTCGTCCGCCCTCGAGCTTTAATTCCAGAAACACGACAGGGACCACTAGCGTCTTGTCCTCAGTCTTAGACGGTGCTCTCTCTCTCTCTCTCTCTCTCTCTCTCTCTCTCTCTCTCTTAATTCCACAAAAAAACGTCGAAGAGAATTCAAAGTACTTGATAAATAGACCAAGTTCCACCATTAAGCGTTTTTTGATCCCATTTATTAACTCTTAAGTAGTATTAGAACACAAGAGTGACTGGTCGAATGGGTCCCAGCGCTAAAATATTCTTGTCCTAATGGCCTTTAGATCCTACTACGCCTCACTCCCTATGGAATCCTTCTTGTAATGAACACTAGTATATCTCACCACCTAAATTATGGCCGTATTTAAAACCAGATCTAGATTATAGGTTTGTTATTGCCACGTTATACAAGTTGATAGATCTTGTAAATGACGAGGAATTGGTTATTGTTCTTATACGGTGTTATTATCTACGTACGCTTTTACACTATGTCAACAAGTCAACAATAAGACGCTAGGGTAGTTATATTGTTAGATTCTATCGTAACTCCTTTGTATATCGTTTGAAAGGTAACTAAAAATAATCTTCTCTCGTTTATAGATTTTGAAGGTCTCACCTCGTCATCAACATCAACAAACAGAAGGGTCTTTGACAGATGAAGAAGAACAAGTGGTCAGCCCTAAACTCCAGCCAACGTTTATATATACCAGTGCCTCCATTATATCCCTTGGTGGCTCATGTTGGAACTATCTTGCACTGCCTTGATAGTAAGTGTTTCTCTATTTTTTACGTTATACTTATGCTTATACTTTAACGTAAACTTATACTTAAACTTATACTTTAATAAGGCAAATAAAGAGCTGGGTTTTCTTTACAAATAGTGACTGAAAATACGGTACTAAAAGATTTATAGCGGATGACAGGATTCAGGTTAGATTACTTCACCACATATTTTATAAATGTTTTAATCCCGTTGTCCCAATATCGCTAAAGGTCGACACAAAAACAATAAATTTACAAAAAAATAAAAATAAATATCAGTAACAAAAACAAATAAATATAAGTAACATGAACAATAAATACAGATCATAAAAACAAGAAATATCAAGGTTACATAAACAATAAACATCAAGATTACATAAACAATAAATATCAAGGTTACATAAACAAAAATATAAACCCCACAAAAAACACTTAATACAGGTTACAAAAACAATATATATAACATGTTTACTCTCGAGAGGTTCAGTAGTTCATCACCAGCCAGAAAGGTGAAGTCACCCACAAGCACAGGAGTTGAGAACACTGAGCTACTTCAACTACGCAACACTACACCACGGGAATAAGTCAGGGTCCTCTTGTTTATATTGCCGTTAAGGGTCAGTCACAAGGCCTAATTAGGGGGTAACTGTTATTTTATTTTATTTTTACTTTTCTTCTTCATTTTCGCATTCTTATATTCTTCTGTTGTTTGTCTTTCTTTAAATATGGGTTACTCTATTAGCTGCATTATGTATATGTATTATAATCTATGCTTAATGTATCGTAATGTATACATATATTGTTGTTATGCTCTGTTTACCGTTTTCTGTAAATCGGTCATAAAACGAAAAACAGGAATCACTGACGAATTACCAACTCACTTAGGTTCACCTGAAGATTAACCACCCTAATACTACTTGGGAGGGATGAGGTTAGGTTAGGTTAACGTTAGGTTAGGTTAGGTTAAGTTAGGTTAGGTTAGGTTTGGTTAATCTTTAGGTGAGATAAGCTAGAGTGGAGATTCCCCAGGTAATTGGACAGAAAACTTAAGGAAGAGATCATAGTCAAGGGAAGTTGGCGTGAAAAAGTTATCTCAGTCAGTCAGTCAGTCCGTCAGTCAGTTTGGAAAGTGGTTTACTGAGTTACTAAATAGATCCTGAAAAAAAAAAGATGATTTTTCTTCATCTAAATGAGAATGATTTATTCTATTTAAAATGAAACTTTGTATACTAAAAATTATAATATGTCAAACTCGAATCCGAAAATCTCTTACATGTATGCTAAGATGGCAACCTTGTTTACTAAAATAGCGAGAATGGGTTAAATGTCAGAGTGGCAACCCCGCTGAAGCCTGGTAGGAGGTGGCGGTAAGAGTCAGTATCACGCGGGACATCATAGAGTGAGGATGTCCGCTCCGCCATATCGTATATAACTTCACCTGCCCCCGACCACTTACCACTCGTCCAACCAATACTCTCCAAACTTGAATACTATTAAATACATTTACCAAGGAGTTATATATTGAAGGAAATAAATAACTCAGCGTAAGGACATAAGAGAAGTGTATATAATTTTGTGTTTTTAGTGAAAGAGAACTTTTGGTTGGCTTAAGCTGTCAACGTTACACAGGAGGTTTAGCCAAGATTATCTCCCGACTTCCCAAACTCTTATAAAAATAATCCCCGGAACTCACTTGTGGACGAGACCAACTCCCTCCGTCAAGATGGATATAACGTAGACTCCTGACAATGTAGAAACTTGATCGAACTTTATAAAGACGATTTAGAACAAAAACAACTTAAAAAATATAAAAAAATACGAAAAACTCAAAATCCTGTGTTGGGAAAGAGCCAGGAAAAATTAGTGAACTCTGCGGAAGTTTTCTGCAAAATTGGAAACGAGGCTTGAAATTTCTCGCCCAAATTCAGAATCTGACGTCTAAAGTTTCCCCCTTAAAGCCTCACCTTATTTACAAAGAAAACGAAGAATTTGAGAAGCTGATAGTGTAAAGAAAATGGGTCGTGGCGTCTTCATGGTAGCTGTTGCTGTCTTTCTACACGTGGGTGAGTGTCCTGCTACCACCACCATAGTCTCTTCACTATCACCAATGTCATGTCACTATCACCAGTACCCTATCACACAGTAACACCTTCGTCAGGAATAGAACACTTTAAGTCACTCGTTCTGCGGCAGGAGATATCGACATGGAGGCGGTGCGCTTTAAGTCACCTATATTTTCAGAGCTTGGTGGACAGGTCGTGCCCCTTGAGACACGAGTTGCCGCTGTGTACACTCGGCCACTGCTCTTGTTCACAATTCTTAAATACATCTGTGTTGTTGCGTTTGCTCTTACGTTTCTCCTTGAATAATAACAAGAACAATAATAACGATAACAACAATAATAATAATAACAAATAATAATAAAATGTGATAGAATTCCAAACGAGTATTAAAATTATTGGGGCGTTGATATTGAAAATGTTAAATAATGTTGTATGGGATCTTTGTGTGGGACCTGGGTGTGGGACCTTTATGTGGGACCTTTGGCTGGGACCTTTGTGTGGGACCTACAGATCTGTCTTAATACATACTGTACATACACACAAATACACACATACTGTACATACATACATACATACATTCTTATATTTTCTTCTCCCTCTTCTTAATGTTCTTATTCCTCTTCTCCCCCCCTCTTCTTCCTTATCCTCATCTCTCCCTCTTCTTCTATATCCTGTCTCCTCCCCCCTCCTTTATATCCTCATACTCCTCCCCCCTCTTCTTCATATCCCCTCATCTCCTCCCCCTCTTCTTCATATCCTCATCTCCTCCCCTCTTCTTCCTCCATCTCCTCATCTCCTCCCCTCTTCTTCATCATCCTCATCTCTCCCCCCTCTTCTTCATATCCTCATCTCCTCCCCCTCTTCTTCATATCCTCATCTCCCCTCCCCCCTCTTCTTCCTTATCCTCATCTCCTCCCCCTCTTCTTCATCCTCTTCTCCTCCCCCTCTTCTTCCTTATCCTCATCTCCTCTCCTCCCCCTCTTCTTCGCCTCCTCTTCCCATCTCCTCCCTCTCTTCTTATCCTCATCTCCTCCCCTCTTCTTCATATCTAATCTCCTCCCCCTCTTCTTCACTATCCTCATCTCCTCCCCTCTTCTTCATATCACTCATCTCCTCCCCCCTCTTCTTCCTTATCCCCTCATCCTGCTCCCCCTCTTCTTCCTTATCCTCATCTCCTCCCCCTCTTCTTCCTCCTCATCTCCTCTTGCTTCACTTATCCTCTTCTCCTCCCCCCCTCTTCTTCATATCCTCTTCTCCTCCCCCTCTTCTTTGTCCATGCCTAATCTCCTCCCCTCCTTCATATCCTCTTCTCCTCCCCCCTCTTCTTCATATCCTCTTCTCCTCCCCCCCCTCTTCTTCATATCCCTAATCTCCTCCCCCTCTTCCTCGCCTCCTCTTCTCCTCCCCCTTCTTCCTATCCTCTTCTCCTCCCCTCTTCTTCCTTGTCTAATCCTCTCCCCCCCCTCTTCTTCATATCCTCTTCTCCTCCCCCTCTCTTCACTATCCTCTTCTCCTCCCCCCTCTTCTTCATATCCTCTTCTCCTCCCCCTTCTTCCTATCCTCATCTCCTCCCCTCTTCTTCCTTTCTAATCCTCTCCCCCCCCTCTTCTTCATATCCTCTCTCCTCCCCCTCTCTTCATATCCTCTTCTCCTCCCCCCTCTTCTTCATATCCTCATCTCCTCCCCCTCTTCTTCATATCCTCATCTCCTCCCCCTCTTCTTCATATCCTCATCTCCTCCCCTCTTCTTCACTATCTCATCTCCTCCCCCCCTCTTCTTCATATCCTCATCTCCTCCCCCTCTTCTTCATATCCTCATCTCCTCCCCCCTCTTCTTCATATCCTCATCTCCTCCCCCTCTTCTTCATATCCTCATCTCCTCCCCCTCTTCTTCCTTATCCTCATCTCCTCCCCCTCTTCTTCATATCCTCATCTCCTCCCCCTCTTCTTCATATCCTCATCTCCTCCCCTCTTCTTCATATCCTCATCTCCTCCCCCTCTTCTTCATATCCTCATCTCCTCCCCTCTTCTTCATATCCTATCTCCTCCCCCTCTTCTTCATTCTCCTCCCATCTCCTCCCCCCTCTTCTTCGCCTCCTCATCTCTCCCCTCTTCTTCATATCCTCATCCTCCCCCCTCTTCTTCATATCCTCATCTCCTCCCCCCTCTTCTTCATGTCTCTTCTCCTCCCCTCTTCTTCATATCCTCATCTCCTCCCCCCTCTTCTTCCTTATCTCTTCTCCTCCCCTCTTCTTCATATCCTCATCTCCTCCTCTTCTTATCCTCAATCTCCTCACCTCTTCTTCCTTATCTCATCTCCTCCCTCTTCTTCATATCCTCATCTCCTCCCCCCTCTTCTTCATATCCTCATCTCCTCCCCCTCTTCTTCATATCCTCATCTCCTCCCCTCTTCTTCATATCCTCTTCTCCTCTCCCCCTCTTCTTCATATCCTCATCTCTCCCCTCTTCTTCCTTATCCTCATCTCCCCTCTTCTTCATATCTAATCTCCTCCCCCTCTTCTTCATATCCTCATCTCCTCCCCCCCTCTTCTTCATATCCTCATCTCCTCCCCTCTTCTTCCTTATCCTCATCTCCTCCCCTCTTCTTCATATCCTCTTCTCCTCCCCTCTTCTTCATATCCTCATCTCCTCCCCCTCTTCTTCCTTATCCTCATCTCACTCCCCTCTTCTTCATATCCTCTTCTCCTCCCCCTCTTCTTCCTTATCCTCTTCTCCTCCCTCTTGCTGTATCCTCATCTCCTCCCCTCTTCTTCCTTATCCTAATCTCCTCCCCCTCTTCTTCCTTATCCTCATCTCCTCCCCTCTTCTTTATCCTCATCCTCCTCCTCTTCTTCCTTATCCTCATCTCCTCCTCTTCTTCCTTATCCTCATCTCCTCCCCCTCTTCTTCATATCCTCATCTCCTCCCCCTCTTCTTCCTTATCCTCATCTCCTCCCCTCTTCTTCATATCCTCTCTTCTCTCCCTTCCTCTTCTTCTTTATCATATTTCATCTCATCATATTCAACATATTAATGGTATTTCACCCCCTTCCCTCCCTCCCTCCCTCCCTCTCTTTTTCCTCTCCATCGTCAATAGGCGTCCAACTCTACCCTATTCCGGGTTATAGGGCCAAAGGATTTTCCGGGTGTACTTTGTTTATCTTCATAATCAATCTCCTGTACCACACACACACACACACACACACACACACACACACACACACACACACACCCACACACACACACACACACACACACACACACACACACACACACACACACAGTACCGAGGTCACTATGTACACAACCCCTCAAGCCTTTTTACCTGTCTGTCTGTCTGTCTGTTTATACCTGTCTTGTGGATTTCGTTCCATCACGTACATACACTCTTCCTGTCCTTTCTGTCCGTCTGCCTTTCTCGTTGTTTTCTTTACATCCTGAGAGAAGAGAGAGAGAGAGAGAGAGAGAGATTTCCGGCACTTTTGCACTTTGTATAATCTCCACCATCACTACGCAACCAACCTTCGAGAGAGAGAGAGAGAGAGAAAGAGAGAGAGAGAGAGAGAGCCAGAGAAATACACCCACATTATATATCTATACCTCACTGTCCAAAAACACACACACACACACACACACACACACACACACACACACACACACACACATGACCTCAATGATGAAAATAATAATAATAATCACACTGTAGCCTTAAGTTAATGTCTAAAAAATCTACATAGACGTCAGAATTGTAACGTATGATTCTGTCCTTTAGCTGAGCCTTGTAGATAAACCTCCCGGATATGACATGTTGATAATTCTTTGTAAATCATCACAAAAACAATAAGATTTACTTAAGTTATCCCTACCAACAATTTCATTTTCTCTAATTGACGTTACGGCACTGAAAAAATAATACGGATGATAAATCGTGTTTAATAAAGATTTAACATGTAAATAAAATAATAAGTATATTATAGTTCCGTTTTACTCCCCGGCTGGGAATCTTTCTACAATGGAGGTACTTGTAAATTCAAAAGAAAAAAGCGCGCACCAATTCCACAACTGGAAACTGACTCCTCAACAACACCAGGGAAAGTGAATAATAGAACAAGAAAATGAACTTAACTATGAGTTTTATTTGACTTGTTGTACAGAAAGTAGAAAATCATATTACACGTCTAATGAAAAAAAAGCAAAAAAAGTGCTTTATTTCACGTGTCAGAAAAGAAAAGGTTTAGTTTTATTTCACGTTTACCAAAAGGCGAAAAGAGTTACAATTTCGTGGTTTCTGCACTGTTACTACGGTAGTGGTAGCAGCAGCGGTGGTGGTGGTGGTAGTGGGCGGACACAGGAACACCGGGGGAGCGCTGTGCAAATAACGAAAACCAGGAATATAAAACAGCCCCCCACCCCCCACCCTCCCCACACACACACACACACACATACGATCTGATCCTTCCCGTCTTCAAAAACCCTCAGAATATTTACACAAATATCAAACTAGGAATGAAAAGGTTAAGACAAATAGATGTCAATATGCAAAAGGCCAATTTGGCTGAAAATGTCAGGTTATATCCCAGGTTGGAGAGAGGCGACCAGGTCCCCCAAAACAAACGATGACTGGATGGGGAGTCTGGAAGAGTCACTTTATGTCAGGTTATCTCAAGACAATAATGATTTAATAACAAAGTCAGGTCATATCTCAGACAATCATGAATTTAATAACAGAGCGAGTCAGGTCAGGTTATCTCAGAACAATCATATTTAATAACAGAGCAGAGTCAGGTCGGTTATCTCAGAACAATCATGATTTAATAACACGACGTCAGGTCGGTTATCTCAGAACAATATGAATTTAATAACAGAGAGCGAGTCAGGTCAGGTTATCTCAGAACAATCATGAATTTAATAACACAGAGAGTCAGGTCAGGTTATCTCAGAACAATCATGAATTTAATAACACAGAGAGCGAGTCAGGTCAGGTTATCTCAGAACAATCAT